CACGAGCTCGGCGCGCATCGCCAAGCGTGCAGCAGGACACGGTAGCGGCTCGACTGGAAATTGGAATTTGTGTGTAAAGCTGACGCGTCGCTGAATTTTGATGGAGCGTCTCTGCATTGAACGAAGAGAAGCTGTAAACGAGGTCATGACCCATGACGAGGTCGGGAGCTGTGGGCCACAAACACCAGCGAACGTTATCTTAGTTCTTGTTCTTATTCTTAGCATGACGTGGCAGCGTAACAGGACAGTGTGCGGCACGACCCAAGATGATGGTGTCACAGCCACACGCTTGACACCATGTGGTGTATCCGATGTCGAGGGGCCGTGTTGACGTCCGAGTCTGCTGTCCGACTTTAGAGTTGAGGCGCGGCAGTCGTGCACCGTGCTTGCTTACTACACTGCGATACGAAGTAAGCTTAGAATCTCTTTGTGGCAAGCCAGCGCCATGGCCTGTCGACATGCGCACGCAAGTGGCAAGGATGTGTTCACGGCTCTTCTCTGTCGCTCGGCGGTGTTCGCTGCACCGAGAACTAGAAAAGGGATTCTATGTATGTTGTGATTTTGGCTGTGACGGCACCGACACTAGATTCCAGCTACATCGCTGCTAGATATGTAACAGAGCGTGTTGAGGTTTAATACTTGAAGAACGAGACACTGCCGGCACGGGGACCGTGCTGGTTGAGCTGGCGGATCTTCTCGTCCTTGAAGATGTTCTTGGTCTCCTTCTTGTCGGTTCGCCGCTCTTGCTTGTGCGCCTTGGCGGCCAGCTTGCGCTCCTTCTTCTCTTCCTTGGTCTCCATGCGGTTGCGCAAAAGCTGCGGCACAACCGAGCCCACGTAGCTCACGGCGTCATCGTGCTGGCTCTGTCCATTCAAATTTGTATCAAGGTGTCAATAGAATATCAAGTGTACCTCGGCCTCTTCCGAAATGGGCGTGATGTTGAGGGGCATGCCAGTCTTGGACGAGAGAATGATGTGGTTGGTGTTCTTCTTTTTCTTCTTCGGGTTCTCACGGCGCGGCTCCCGCAGCAGCGTCGGGTGGTTGTCGAGGTTCGAGTACGTACTGACAATGGTTTCACAGTCCCACTACAGAGGTCGAAATTTGTGAAAAATCGAACAAAAATCAAACAAAAAGCCACAAAAAATACCTGGTCCTCAACACGGGGCGCCAAGTACGGGTTGGTGTGCGCCACATCGTCCATGTTGGCGAGTTCGGGCTCGGCCTCCTCTTCGCTCTCGTACAAGGCGTCTTCGGCCGCACACTCGGCGAGCACCTCCTGGAGACGATTGCCGGTCCGGAGCGGGTTGCCAATGCGACCTTCCGTCTGCATGACCTCCTCTTGCAAATGGACAAAGTCCTGGACGATCGACTCGAGCAGCGCGCCTTCGAGGAGCAGCTCGCCGCGCGTCTCCTCGTCGTCGAGCTCGCCAATCTCTTCGTCGTCGTACTCTTCTTCCATGAGCTTCTCGAACGCTTCATCAAGCGCCCGCTGCGCATCGTCCTTGCTCTCGCCATACGCATCGTCATCATCGCTGAATTCGTCGTCGTCGTCGTCCGAGTCCAACTCGTCGTCGTCTTCGTCATCGCTGAGGTTGCCACGGTACTTGGGAATACCGTCGGCGGCTGCCATGAGCTTGGCAATGTGCGCCTCATAGTCGAAACCATCTATATACACTCAGTCAGGACAGATAGAAAAGGCAACAAGCATAACCGTACCGGCAGCGCCATCGTCTTCTCCATTGTCCTCGGCGGCCTGTAGCATGAAGTCATCGTTGAGCTCTTCGAACGCATCTTCGTTGGTGAGCGCTTCGCGCAGATCTTCGTCCATGACGTCCTCGGTGAGCGTGATGGCCTCGAGCATGCGCTCCGACTCGACCGTGTTGGAGGCGAGGACGTCGTCGGGCAAGACGACACGCTTGGAAAGAAGACCGGCGCTAGACAGAGCGAGGCATCGGCTCCATGCGCATGACAAAGGTGATCTTCCTACCCTTCGTCGTACGTGCCACCGGCCGAGTAGAACTGGCCATGGCCAATCTCCTTCATGTGCTTCTTGTAGTCGTAGCCGTCGTTGACCATACCGAGCTCGTTCACAAGGTCCTGAGCGACGACATTGCCGAAACGCACTTGCTTGGCCGGCTACGTAAAAGGCTTTAGATATAGCGGCGCAGATGTGGCGTACCGCCGACGCGACAAGGTCGGGCATGTCATCGTCGTCGTCGTCGTCGTCCGAGTCGTACGGCGCCTGCGAACCATCGTATTCTTGCGCTTGCTAGCAGGTGGCAGCATGACGCGCGCTGCGTAGGGTGCAAAGTCGCCTACCGTGGCCGAGAGCAGCACGAATTTCGACGCGGTCGGGTCGTTGATGAGCGGATCGCGCTGCGAGCGGTGCACGACGTGGAAGTGCTGCGCTTCCTTCTTGTTGATAAAGGCCTTCTTCTTACCCTAGTCAACCATGTGCATCAGCGCGGGTCGTCGCCATGACGCAGCGACAAACCATGGTGCGTGCGTCAGATTCGAGTCTCTCAAGTCAAGTTGACGGTCTTGGTGTGCTCCAGTGTTCCACGCCTCCTTGTGATTGGTCGAGGAAATGGCAGCGCGGAAGGCCATTGGTGGACAGTCTATATTGCCAGTGATTGGTCACAAATTGACCAATGAGAGGCAACGATGAGATGGCAACTCTCCCACGAATTCATGGGACGTTGCAGCGAAGTCGGCGCCCATTAGCGAAACTCCGAAGCATGATTCTGGAGGGTATTTGATGCGTCAAGTCGCCCGCAACGAGGCTACCACGATGGTTGATATTGTCGTTCGGGATTATGGATGATGTCGATACTAGAAGAGAAGGCGCCGATCAATCGACTGCGCAGTCGGGAGCTCTTAAACAAGTAAGCTATAGCTTCTACCAGTCGCCGCAAGAGGTGCTTGCCGATGGAAGATAGCAAATGAACATGTCGTTCGTGTGCTTTTAATCTACATCAATCAACAAATACTCTGCAGCCGTGCAAAAAGGTAGTATCAAATCAGCAAATCGGAAAGTTGAAAAGTGCAAATCCAAAAGTTAAAAAGTGCGATACTTCTCGATTTATGCGTGTCATCCTTGCGCAGGGGCCATGCTAATCTTCTCTGTATCGTTCCAATTTTTACGGATGATCCCCGAAGGGATTCCTGAAACGGTGTCCATTGCACGCTACCGTTTAAAACGTTTGGTCGGCACTTCGATACCACCTACTTCCTCTTTCACGACTTTTTTCTTGTAATATTGCTGTCGCTCAGAAAAGCCACACGATCACATTAAAAAAAGAGGGCCTTTGAAAACGGAAAGGAATTCTACATTTTTGAATATTTCTTTGCATTTACCAACCGTTGCCTCCTGTCTTTTATGCCTGCACGTACGAGCTTGGCAACTCGTTTTCCCCTTATAAATGGCTACTTGAGCCTCCTAGTGCGTTTCTTGGAGTCTTCATTTATTTATATTTAAGTTATAGTCGTATCCTTGCGCGGTTAGGCGAGGATCTTGGGGGCCGCCAGCACGGGGCACACCATAGCCGAGGCGCGGATCGAGTAGCGGTCGGGGTGGCACGGCATGCCGAGGAAGACGCGCAAGAGCCCTTTCAAAACGTGCAAGAGGAAGCTCGGGGGCGAACTGTCGGCCATCGCGTGTTCGTAAAAGCAGAGGAGAGCACACATTGCGCGCTCCATCTTCTTTGGGGCCCACGGCATCCACGCAGCGGTGGGCACGGGCAGCTTGAGAAGCTTCTGAAGCTCCAGCGTCCAGTACGCTTCGGCGTTGGCGTTGATGACTTCGTTGTGGTACAACGTGGCAAGCGTTTGGCGGAGGTACTTGAGGTCCTGAAGTGACTTGAGGACGGACCACGAGACGTCGCCGACCGTAAGCTGAAAGCAGTAGAGCTTTGTCGCTTCGTCGCCTTCGCACTGGCGAATCGTGTACGTCCAGACTGCAGCCATTGGAAATTGAGTGTTGTCGTCGAGCAAAACGAAAAGTGAGGTGGCACCCAAAGAGCACCACAATCAAACACAATTCAACCGAGAGAGTAACCGAGGGCAGGTGGGTAGGACATTGAAGGTGCAACGGGCTCGCATCGTCCTACGGTGTAGGTCTCGTGGACATTATTAAGTGGACACGACAGACCGAGTCACACATGGCAGGACTCAACTGCCAGACAGTTGGCCGCATCGGACGTCCCGTTGGATTTAATCCACGGTTTTGGATTTTTTTATTTTCGAGTACAGTATCCAGATACTGCATGACGATCGCGCCTGGATTTCTTACGACCCGTTTTGCGATACGATTGTACTGTGCGGATTGTATACTTTGTATACCTAAAAAGGTTGGGGTTGTGCACGCGCCGTAGCTCGTACTATCGGACGCGTTGTCGATAGTAGAGAGCGTCATCGACTAGTTTCCGGAGTCGAGTGCGTCATCCACCCTTTTCCAGAAGAGAACGAGTGCGACGGGACGCAAAGATTTCCGGCGCAAGAACAGAAGAACCAGACAGCAAAACAAGTTCTAGTCCGTCTTTGGCAACTCGCAACGAAATAGCCCACCCACCTCGCCCACCCTGGGCAAGTTTGACACGAATACATTCGATGCCTCGATCCGCAGCGACCGCCAACGAGTGCGTCGCCATCACGACCAGCGCGCCAGAATCTGTGTCTGTGCACGTGAGCGATCCTGCACCTGAGACTGACAACACCGTGCAGGATCTGCGAGGCAATGGCATCTCGTGATGGTGTCGTGGATATGCCTTCTCAGAGTGGCCTCGCACTGCTGGTGCCACATTTTTCTGAACCCAGCGTGAACTTTGTAGCCTGTCTACAAGCCTCGTGTAGAAAAGCTTATGGGTCAGTGTCACTCACGCTACCCTTGGTTGTGACAAAGTATGGAATCCGAGGTAGCTCGAGTGGTGGGGTGTGCAGTGTCGAGAGAGCTTTCGAAAGGTCATGCATCCTCGTTCGCTTCGTCCGAACTTGAGATGCTACCGGTCTAAACACGGCGTAGCACAGGGATAGAACTCGATGTCGGCGCGAGCACAAGCTATATGAGCTCTGATACCGAAGCCACAACAACCATAGGCGGTCGCCATCCAGCTTGGCTTGCCACCCCAGAACCAGAGTGTTGGTTCCACTTAGAACCAGGACTGACGCGCTACGTGCTGCCACCGAGGTACTATGTCCAAAACGTCCAAGTTGTTACTCCTGGATGTCGTTGCTCATACGCTGCCAGTCGCACGTTTTGCTCGTTATAAAATCGGTCGACCTTGTTTCCTCGGCCTCACGCCCTTGCTCTTTGTCTAGGATGTCGTTAGACGCCCTTGGTGTCGCAAGCCATAATTGGCAAGCCAACATCTCTGCATAGGCCAACTGAAATGTACGCGGTACCACGTGGAAGCTCCTGTGCCGCGCGTCGTTTGGGCGGTGCCTTCGTCCAAGAAGAGCGACGTATCAATGTCATGGGCTATCTGTTATGCACTGGTGAACCCATATGACTGCTAGCCCAAGGTCAAAGGCTTAGGTCAACGGTTGTGCTCTGATGCCCATCACCTCTGGTATCCGGATGCGACGGTTTCTCGACTTAATACCTTTGTATTGATTGGAGTGGCAATAAATATTTTCAAAGCACAATGTTCTCGGCGCTGAGCTCGCCGACGCTGGCCAAGCACGCCGAGTGGAGCTGCACCCAGCGCGCCACGACAGGCGGCGCCAAGCAACACGTCTTCCGCCTGCATGCCAAGCTCGGGTCCTGGGACCTCGCGCGCACCTTTGTCGAGCTCGAGTTCTTCCGCGAGACGCTTCGGACGCTCTACACCAGCGAGGTCGGCAGCAACAGCCACGAGACGACGTGGCCACGCCGCCTGCGGCACGTGCTAACGCTGCCATTTCCGAGCGTCGAGTGGCTGCCATGGGCGACGGGCCAGCTCGGGCGCTTCGTCGCGGCGCTCGTGGCCCTGTACGACGACGCCGCACTCGTCACGACGCCGACCTTTCTCCTCGGCGTGCTCCAGCCGCTCCTACGCAAGTTCCTCGACTGCGCCAACGTCGAGTCGCGCTTCGTTCGCGCGACCAGCGAGCTCGCTGTGACGTACAGTCCACGGCGGAGCTATGTGCCTCGGCTCTCCGCGCCCGCCGCGCTGGCCCACCGAGCCTCCCACGCCGTTCTATGATGCCGTCTCGTATGCACATCATGACCCTCAAATGCTAATGCAAACGGGGCGGTGCCCATGTATATGTCTTGAGATCGCACGTTGGTGCTATTGGTGTCGTATGTCAACGTTGAGGCGGCGGGCGAGCCCTCGATGCTGCCGTGACACCGAGCTCGTTGCGGCTCGTGTCGATATATTATTATTGATCTCGCGTTCATGAATTGGCTAATTGGTCTTTTTCGGTACAAGATGCAAATTCGATGAGGCTAGCGTGTGAGTACTGGTAGCGCCGAGGAGGGCTACCTCGTGAAATGCCATGGTTAAGAGGTGAGCACATGAAGCGTCTTTAGTTTTACGAGCGTTTGCTTGTCCTCGCCTGCGCCCGGGCGACTACACAGGAGCAAGACGCTCCTGCGCAACCACGGCCCGGCGAGCGAATGAAGAAGAAAGAGATTGCTAGTCTCTACGTATGCGAAGGCTTTGTCATGAAGACAACGCGTTCATATATTGTCGGAGCAGAACTGGGCTACCATCCGCTCGATGAGCACATGGAGCATACCCGGTTCTCTCTTCGCTCGCCATAGCTCCTCACGCCCTGTGTGCGGTACAGCCTCGCCCAGCGACTGTCGAGTGCGCTACCCATTTATATATACTAGATGTATCGGTGGAGAAAATAGATTAGGTGGTGGAGATATTGTCCTGTCATGGTGCGACGTAAATGCCGGCCATGGTCTTGGTCGGTGCGCGGCACAGCGGGCACGTCTGCGTGCCGTGGAGCCACTCGGTCACGCAGGTGGCGTGAAACAAATGCCGACACGGCAGCTGGACGATATGACACGCAACGTGCCACTCGCGCTCTTCGTACTCGCAGAGGCAGATCGCACAGCCCGCGTCGGCGGCGTTCTCGACCAAGTGCGTCGTCTTGAGGTGCGGCGGGACGTTCAGAAACGACTCGAGCAGCGACGCGAGCGGCGCTAACGCCGACGGCATGCTGGCGCACTGGAGCAAGAGCGAGGCTTTCTGTGCATACAGCACGGCCGCGGTTCGACACACCATGGCTTGGGTCAGGAGGCTTCGGAACCCGGCCGTGCGCTCGGCAATCACGTGCGACTCGAAGCGGTGAAAGTTGTGCTTCTTCGGAAACGGCACCGCGAGGATCGACTGGATCATGTCGATGGTCACGACTTGGTCCGGGTGCGGCGAGATCATCGAGCTGAGGAGCCGGAGCTGCTGGCGAAAGCGAAGAAAGTCCGAGAAGCGCTTCCGGAGGACCCACGACCGGCGTGTGATGGGGCATGTGATCGGCATCTCGTAGAGCGTGTAGTGGCTTGACGTGTTCTTGGTGCGGCGCGACGTCGACGACTTCATTGCCCCTGGCTGCTTCAAATCCATGGTTCTGGGCAAGAGCGATGTAAAGGCCATCGGCAAGTACCCCTTCGAGCTTGGCATAGCGAAATGCGAAATGGTGTTCAGCGCGCCACACCCCGCGAGGGCGCGCTCTCATTGGTGGAAATGTAACGAATGGCATGTCTCGATTCGCGATCCGACTTTTTTTCGCTGCCACATTCCATAATGATTCCGCAAATTGCGAAGCCATTGTCTGCAGCTGCTGCCGGTTCGAGACGATCGCATACCGGTACGGCGACAAGGCTACTATCCCATTCTCTAATCTTATTGTGTCTTATTTGTCGCCTACCGGTCGGGTGCACTAGGACGAGTCAAGAAGGTGCAACATCGAGGGCTGCCAACGTTGCACTGTATATGCGCGGTATACACTGTATATTATCGAAAACGAGTAGAAACCTGGAATTTGAAGTGCGACGAGGCAAAAGAAGGATGATCTACACATAGCTAAAGCCACTTTTCAACCGATTGATGCGACTGTATCCTCAATGGACGTTGTGGGTATGCTGATCGAGCATCTTCTTCCATGGGTACTTCAACTCGTCACAGCACAACCACGTGTGAAAGGAATCAGTAGCGTTGTATGCACTCGGACACTCGAGCATCTCGAAGGCGCGAGGAGGGAACCGTTGAAGAGTGTGCCAACGCAGGTACTAGTACGTTGATAGACACAATTCGGATGACATGTACGATGGCGAAGGATTCAAGTGCTGTACGATCGATCTCTACCGTAGTTCTATGACGTGGTAGCCTCTCGGGACGAAGGGAGCAGTGCGCGTCCGACCAAAATGATATCGATACCCAAGGCAACTTTTCCACACCCATCAAGCTTGGACAAGCGAGTATGGGAAAGCACAACGACGATGCGTAGGGGTCATGACGCTTGGAAGGAGCGCCGCTGACCCTCTCCCTTCGTCGTTGCCTCCGACGCAGCGGAGGGTCGTCGCTGTGGGAATAGAAGGACGTA